TGATGAAAGTCCAGTGAAGTGGAATTTACCAAGATTATGGGGTATGTCTATTATATTGGGTATCATCTTAGCTGTTGGATCGTGGATCTGTTTGTCGACTATGTTCTTGCCCAGGGGTGGTATTATTCAGAACTTTGGATCTATTGATGGTGTGATGTTCTTGCAAATTTCTCTTACTGAAAACTGGTTGATTTTTATCACTCGTGCCAATGGACCATTCTGGTCATCAGCTCCATCGTGGCAATTGGCTGGTGCAGTCTTTATTGTTGATNTTATTTCTACCTGTTTCACTCTTTTCGGATGGTGGTCTCAAAACTGGACCGATGTTGTGACAGTTGTCAGAGTGTGGATCTGGTCGTTTGGTGTGTTCTGTGTTATGGGAGGTGCTTATGTTTTGATGTCTGAGTCTAGATCATTTGATAGATTCATGAATGGTAAGCCATTGAAAGAACAACCACCTCAAAGATCAGTTGAAGATTTCCTTGTTGCCATGCAAAGAGTGTCTACTCAACATGAAAAGTCAGGTTGAGAGTGACTGAGACTGAGACTGAGACTGAGACCGAGACTGAAACTGAGAACATGGAGACACCTGCTTTTGAGTGAAGCACCATTAGCTGGAGTTTTGATTCTTACTCCTGTTTAAATTCATTTTCATTTTCATTTTCATTTTCATCTTTATTTTTATTTTCATTTTCATTTTCATTTACATTTACATTTTTGTGTTTGTTTTTTCCTTTTTTTTATTATTTTTTTATCATTTCCTTTTTTCCTTTTTTTTCCCCATCTGTTTTCGAGCTCAGTGCTCCCAAGCTTTAATCTTTAATTCATTTGTTTCATTAGGCGCTTTGTTATTCTGTGAACCCATTCATGTTAGAAGTTTCTGTGGCAATTTATATAAATTTGATTCTAATTAGTTAATAAAATACAGTTCATATTCATCTATTATTCATCCACTATTTATCCACTATTTATCTGGTATTCCATTAGATTTTCATTTGCTACTTATTTGCTATTCTGGTTTTTGTATTGTATTGTATTGTATTGTAATTGCATTAATGATGTGATCTTCTTATTGTATTGAAGGCAAATGCTGAGAAATCACATTTGTAACTATGCAAATTTTGTTTGCACCAGGAGACGCATTTTTTTTTAGAAATAATGTTGTTATCCAGAAGATATCTATCTCAAAAAATTTTATCAGCAAAATATTTTTCCATTAGCTAACTATGAATCGCAGATATAAAGAGTTTTAATACCAAAAGAATTCTAGTGTCATAAATTCTATATTTTGCAATTTTTTTGAAGGCGATAATTCTGCTTATATTTGGTGATTAATTAGGAAATAGCGGGAAGTGACGCCACTGGTGTGGATTTTCCCTTTGGTAGAATCTTAAGCTTCTTCACTATTGCGAATAGACTTCCAGTTCATAGTTTGTTGCTGCCATTTGTAAACAAATGCAATTTGAATGGATTTAGTAGACAAGTCCTGTGTTATCTCAAGCTATTTGATTGTATTGTTTCAAACAATGCTAGGTAAAGCATGTTTCCAACAATTTGTAGTCCTACATATGTTGCTTTAAAGCACCAAACCTTAATTGCAGACATATTTATGGGGAGCGATTTCACACAACACAATAGCTCTCTCCCAAATGAATAAAACCCTTGAATAAAATACCAAAACCATGAAGATGATAAATAAATCTTTGATGGTTTATAGCTGGCCTCTATTGTTGAAGGGGGATGTTGGATCTCAAGAAAACAAGTATACTGTTTGTTGTCGTGCACCAAAAGTGATGTATTAACCAATTCGAAGGAACTCTTGGGTGATCTTTAGTTTGTTATTATGACTTGATTACAACCTTATGCAAAGCAACTGATTTTCTTTTGTATTATCATTATTTAAATTTGGATAATCGTGTGCACTGTTGTTTTCTACAATAACAAATTGTCTTTATAGATAATGTCTATTTGTAATACCCAAAGGGTTATAGTGGTTGGGGCAGGCATCACTGGATTAACTACTGCTTTTGAATTATCTAAACAGGGCTACAAAGTTATACTTATTTCTAAATGCTTTCCAACTGATGAAAAATACTCTTATGAATATGCTTCTGCTTGGGCTGGTGCTCATTTTACTCCTGTTCCCACCTACTCTGAAAAAGATGTTCTTGAGATGAAATTGAACAGAACAACATATAGATATTTCAAAGAGCTAGCAGAGGAGTTTCCAGAATCATCAGTCAAATTTGTTAAAGGAATACATTATCTTGAAGAGCCTTTATCAGCATACTATAGTGAAACTAATGCTGGATATAATTCATCTAATCTAGAAAACTTCAAAACATTATCTCCTGAGATAATCCCATTTGATGACATCAAATTTGGATGTGAATATGATTCGTGGGTTGCAAATGCTCCTCATTTACTAAAATTCCTTTTTAATCGTCTAAGAATCTTCTACAATGTCAAGGCTTTCCAGTTGGATGTTATGTCAATTAGACAAATTTTTGAAGCTTCACACTGTTTTAGTGGGTTGCATGATATCTTGGGTGTTATTAACTGTACTGGAAGAGGACTACAATATGATGGTGGATATGATTCAGACACCTTTTTTGTTCGAACTCAGACCATAAATATCTCAAAACCCATTTGTCCAAATATCTCTACGATTCCATATTACAAGAAAACAGTTATAATTCAACTTAAAGATGGATCATCGGTTTATGTTATTGAAAGACCTATTGATGGAGGATTTTCCATTGGTGGTAGCAGGCAAATCAATGATTTTTGTCCATTTGCAAGAGAAGCTGAAACTCGCGAAATAATTGAAAATGCCAAAAAATATTTCAAAGAACTTTTGAATGCAGTGGGGGAATTTGATATCAAGAAAGTCAATGTTAGTATCAGAGCAGTTAGAAAAGGAGGGTTAAAATTATCAAAAGTTCTAATCAAAGAACAAGGCAATAAATTTTTGATCGATGCATATGGAGCAGGAGCAATGGGTTACGAATTGTCATTTGGAATTGCTGAAAAGGTAGTTGAAATGGTCAATGACAAATATGAGAATATATCTGCTAAGTTTTAGCTGATCAGAGACGATGAATATAAATAGTGATGTTTGTTACTGTCACTCATATATATATTTGGTAGAGTTTTTTCGATATGTAGTGTTTTACTCAAAAGTATCACCATCAAACTGTGCAAAGAGATTTGTGGTTGGAAATCAACCATTTCAGTGCCATTACTGGTCCTATTCGCTGATCATATTCACTGGTATAATTATGGACTCATTCCTCATGGTGATAATGACACAGAAGACAGTTCCGACCAGTGTCTTGATTTAGTTTTTGGTACGAAATTCACTTTGATAACTGAAAATCGCTCGTTTCCAGATAAAACTCGTTGGTATTCCAGCAGAAACATTTGTTGAAGTATTTGCACAAACATCCGTTGATATTGTGGTTTTGCTGCTGATAAAAAATGGGCTCTTTTGGCTGTAGAAATATCATCGTCGTTGGTGCTGGCGTAATTGGGTTATCGGCTGCTTATGAGCTATCAAAGCAAGGGTATAAAGTCTTTATCATATCAAAGCATGTACCAGATGAAGAACCATACTCTTATGAATATACCTCAGCTTGGGCCGGGGCCCACTTTAGACCCTTTCCTTCACATTCGGACCAAGATATTGTTGAAATGAAATTGACCAGAAAAACATATCAGCATTTTAAAGTGATCTCAAAAGAATTTCCTGAAGCCTCAATTAAATTTGTGAAGGGGATCGATTATCTCGAAGAACCATCTCTTGAGTATGTGTCTGGCAAAAATGTTGGATACAATGCTTCTAATATACCAGACTTTAAGAATCTATCTGCTGAGGAAATTCCCTTTGATAATTTGAAATTTGGAGCTGAATATAAAACATGGGTATTAAACGCCCCTCATTTTGTCAAGTTTTTATTTAATCGTCTCAAGAATTTTTACGGTGTTGAATTCGTTAAAATGGATGCTATTTCGATTAAACAAGTGTTTGAAGCAGCATCGTCATGTTTTGGTGATGCCACTGAAATACTAGGTGTTGTTAACTGCACTGGAAGGGGATTGAGATACTTAGGTGGATATGATCCTGATGTCTATGCGATAAGAGGTCAAACATTATTGGTCACTAGACCAACTTGTTCATTTGCACAAACCAATCCTTTCTATAACAAAACTGTCACTATTCAACAAAAGGACGGTTCATGGATATTTGTCATAGAAAGACCAATTGATGGAGGTTTTATCATTGGCGGAACCAAACAAGTAAATGATCTATGTCCCTTTCCCAGAGAGTCAGATACTAAGGGTTTAATTGAAAGAGCTAAACCATATTTCAGTGAATTGCTTCATGAAGATGGAGAGTTCAATATTTTGAAAGTCAATGTTGGTTTTAGACCTGCCAGAAAAGGTGGTTTTAAATTGACTAAAGTATTGATAAAAGAGCAAGGCAATAAGTTTTTAATCGATGCCTATGGAGCAGGAGGCATGGGGTATGAACTTTCTTTTGGCGCAGCAGAAAAAATTGTTAAAATGGTCAACGACAAGTTTGCTTATATTTCTGCTAAATTGTAATTTGGTAAATAGATTTTAAAATGAAAATATCAGACGTTATAGTGAATACAATAAGTAACCCCATTTATACTGCACCTATTTTGATTAAAAGACAATCAGTCCAATACAATATTTTACAACAAAAAGTTTTCTTTATTGAGTTTTTAAATTAGTTTCTTTCAGAATAAGAAATTTTAAAAAGAAATTGTTCTAAAAATAAAAATAAAAATAAAAATAAAAAACAATCAGTAAAACAGAAAGTATAAAACAGAAAGTATAAAATATAAAAACCTATAGGCTGTGAAATTTCTTGAAAAATACAAATTCGTTTATGCGACTAAAACACGATCTTTTATTAGAAAAATGAAACAGTTTCTAATTAACTTTCTATTTAGATATAAAATAAACTCATAAATGATGCCTTTTTCTTTTGTACTTTTTGAAATCCAGTTTGGACTAATTTTTTAATTCGTATATATTGGATTATTGATATGATGAATGATCATTACTATGATATCTGGACTTCATCATTTGCCATTTATAATATTAAGTTTATGTAATCTGCAACTTATAATCTATAGAATGGAGCAAAATTTTTAAAATCTTAAAATGAATTGGAGGTTTATAAACTCATCAGTCAAAAAAGTCAATTTTCAGAACAGCAGTAGCGATTTTATTACACATGTCAACAATGAAAGTTATTTCAAAGAGCACTAGGTGTATTTGTAGGTGATAATCTAGATATTAATGCCATGGCATACGAATGTCTAGTTTTCCATTGTAGTTTGCATTGTCGTGGACTTACAAGATAACAGTATCTTGATATAATAAACCAGCATTCATACAACTGTCATTTTCATTGGCCTAAAAGTAACTAGAATCAACTGAAATAACAATCTTTGCTTAAAATTGGCAAGTTCTAGCAAAGAAGTGGTTTAAAAACAAAAAAAATAGGCCACCTTTTTGTAAAGATTAAAGAAATAAGAAACTAGGAAAACTTAATATCAGAAACAAAACCGGCTGAGGTTGGTAATTCATCAGTTGAGCTCCCAATTCCTGGTTAGTCGTTCAATGTAGCAAACAGAACAGGAGACAACCTATCTTTTTGGTGTTTCTGCTTCTAGTTAGTACCTGAAGAAAGACACCACAGATCAAAGAGATGTCTTTGGAGAAGCCGAATCAATTGAAGCCAGAAAAGACCAGTTGAAGACACTTCTGAGGCTCTGATGAGCTCATATCCATCCTAAAATGCAGTTGTATACATTCAACTCTACCATCAAGGCATGATTAACAAGGTGTTCAAAGTTTATATCACTTCTTTGAATCTTACCAGAAGGAGCAGTTCTAAGTTCTAAGTTCCAACTCTGATTGTTTCTGGAGTTGCAATTCATTAAGTGTTTTTTAATATAAAAAGAAGGTATCCTTCGTTATATTCGGTCTGAGTTTTCAAACCTCTATCATCTGGCATTTTAAACGAGTTAGATCTTGATATAATCGAGTCTTAAGAATAGTTTACTTGGTTTTTTTTATATCTTTTATTGCAAAGACACAGGCATTTTACCATCAAGATGAAGGGATTGATATTAGTTGGAGGATATGGAACAAGATTAAGGCCATTAACCTTGACAGTTCCAAAACCATTAGTTGAGTTTGGTAATAGACCAATGATTTTACATCAAGTGGAAGCATTAGCTAACGCTGGGTGCACCGATATTGTTTTAGCTGTTAATTATCGTCCAGAAGTCATGGTATCTACATTGAAAAAGTACGAAGAAGAGTATGGAGTTCATATTACGTTTTCTGTTGAGACAGAACCTCTTGGAACCGCTGGGCCATTGAAATTAGCTGAAGAAGTTCTTAAGAAAGACGATACTCCTTTCTTTGTGTTGAACTCAGATGTCATTTGCAACTATCCATTTAAAGAGCTTGCAGACTTCCATAGTGCTCATGGCGGTAAAGGTACGATTGTTGCTACAAAAGTGGATGAGCCATCGAAATATGGGGTTATTGTTCATGACAAATACAAGCCCAATTTGATTGACAGATTTGTTGAAAAGCCAATCGAATTTGTTGGAAACAGAATTAACGCTGGTATNTATATCTTAAATCCCGAAGTTATTGATTTAATTGAATTGAGACCAACCTCTATCGAAAAGGAGACCTTCCCAATCTTAGTTGAAGACAAATCGTTATACAGTTTTGACTTGGAAGGATACTGGATGGATGTTGGACAGCCAAAGGATTTCTTGAGTGGAACATGTCTTTATTTGACATCATTGTCGAAAAACAACTCGAAATTATTGACATCAAACAGTGAGAAATTTGTCCAAGGTGGTAATGTTATGATCGATCCAAGTGCTACAATTGGAGAAGGTTGCAAAATTGGGCCAAATGTGGTTATAGGACCCAATGTTGTTATTGGTAATGGTGTCAGAATCCAAAGGTCAGTCATCTTGTCGAATTCTATTGTTAAAGACCATGCCTGGATCAAATCGACGATTGTTGGATGGAATTCAGAAGT